CCGACAACGGCACGTGAGATTTGATTATAGTGGTGAAGTTTTCGTGCAGGACCAGTCACACTTTTTGTAGGGCCGAATTCAGAGACCTGGTGCACTAAGTGCCACAAGGTCCCCAAACGACCCTCCGCAGGTTTTGAATATATATATATATATATATATATATATATATATATATATATATATACTTTACAGACGGAGGTATATATACACATATGTATGTGTGTTACATTGCAACAAAAAAATAATTCTATTGATTTAAGTAAATTAATTTAAAATATTAAAATTTGATATTGTGTTAATCGTTGAAGAAAAAAATGAGGTTAAATATTTCAAATGAAAGCAAACAAATCTTTTCCCTTGTGAAGAAATATCTTATTTTCATGTTGATTTGTTTCCCCAAATTTTGGGCGCTTAGCAACATTTTTTGACACTGCTTATCATTTCTACAACGCAGAAATAAAAAAATAAAAATTTAAAAAAATGAAAAGTAAATAAATCCTTCAAAAATCCGACACGCGATTGTGTGGTCGTGAGTGCAGTCTGTTTGATGAAAGTCTTTGACACTTTAATCAAAACAAGACGTAAGGGAACTTGATATGTTTTTAATTACTGAATGTGTGAGTTTTATTTTCCATTTTTATTTCAGAGTTCTTATTGATTCATTTTGCAATGGCTGGGATAATGTTAACTAAAATTTGTGTAAATATTGCAAATAAGGAGTAATTTATTGGGAAGAAGATATGCATACAAATCTTCCCAATAATGTTGTCTGGATAATTTTTTTTTTTTTATTAATGCGTAATATATATATATATATATATATATATATATATATATATATATATATGTATATAAAGAAAAATATACGGAAAAAACAAACAAAAAATCCTAATATGCAATTATGCTGTTTTAATATAATGTCAACGTCGGACGTTTCGGTCTAGTAGACCATCTTCAGGACATATTCATAAAACAGGATTTTTGTTTGTTTTTTCCGTATATTTTTCTTCATACTGTCGGATCTATATCCATATATTTGCTTACATATATAGATAGATAGATAAATAGATAAGAAGACATTCGGATTACCAACACAAAAACAGAGAATGTCTCATATCGAGAATATTTAACATTAAAAAACATAAAGGAAAAAAATTAATTATTTTTAATATGTGGAAATCTCCGCCTTTTACCTGAAGACGGTCGCGAGACCAGAAACCCGTGTAGTAAAATTATGGAAAATAAAGCATAATATTTTTAAAAAAATCCACATTACAACCAAAAACGTTTGCGGTACCTCTCCTTTTTAAATATATAGATAGATATAGATAGATAGATATTTCTGTGTATATAAGTAAATATATATTTATACACACAGACACACTAACACACAAGAAAAAATTGAGTATGTTCATATCTATATATACAGAGTTTGCCAAAAATGTATACACACTCCAGGGAAGGAAATACTTGTATAGATATTGTAATACTAAATTTAGTCAGACATCACGAGATTAATACAAGTTACCTTTGGACTCTACACTCACAAGAGATGTTCAAAATGGTGTCCTAAAAGGCGGGAAAATACGGACATGACTGCAAGAAGTGTCAGTATGCCTCTGGATGCCAATTGAAGTTTCTAGGGTGTATTTTAAGGAAAGAAGGTTTGGAGACTTTGACACTCACAGGACATATTGAAGCGAAAAGGGAAACAACAACGTTGGCCAAAGTGTCCAGTGGGTTTGTTGCGCATGCATTTTCAGTTTCATTCCTAAGTGCCGCCAATATCGAGAAAATATCGTACTACAGTAAACAGTGTTATCGCAATTTGATAAAACTACGAAAGACAAGTTTTCCTTCCCTGTTGTGTGTATATATTTTTTGACGGTCTCTCTCTCTCTCTCTCTCTCTTTATCTATCTATCTATCTATCTATGCACACAAACAGTCCACCAAAAAATGTATAATACGAGTTAACTTTGGACTCAGAGATATTCAAAATGGAGGTCTTTAGCGTCCAGACATTATTACGGCTACTTACTGCTTGAGCAATGTCGGCCAAAGTGTACAGTGGGATTGCTGCACATGCATTTTCAGTTTCTTTTCTAATGGCTGCCAATGTCTAGAAAATATCTTACTGCAGTAAACAGTATTATCGCAATTTGATAAAACTACGAAAGACAAGTTTTCCTTTCCTGTTGCGTGTCTCTCTCTCTCTCTCTCTCTCTATATATATATATATATATATATATATATATATATATATATATATATAAGCGTGAAGATATATATATATATATATATATATATATAAGCGTGAAGATATATATATATATATATATATAAGCGTGAAGATATATATATATATATATATATATATATATATATATATATATATATATAAGTGAAGACATATATATATATATTTCGATACATCGCAACCGTATACCAATATATATATGAATATTTAAATGTGATCTAACCTTATAGTTAAAAATAATAATTCACCTCCTAGAACAAAAATAAATAGTGAAAATTTTATTTACAAATTTAAATGCCCATTAAGGAGTTGTATTCCTGATCTATCAAAATTCGTAAATAATTATATAGGCCACACTACAACATGTTTTACACGAAGACTCACTCTCCACCTTTCTGACTATAGCTCAATTCGATCTCATTTAAATATTCATGGAGACCTACAGGATACTATTCGTAACATACTTGTTGAAAACATTAATATAATACCATCATCTACATTCGGACAGTTTTTATATAATTCTGCAAGTAAAATAAAATCTGCAAAGAAAAATTGTATAAAAAACTAAATAAAAGCACCTTGTCTGTCGTATTCAATGAAATGTGCATGAAAAAAGGAATGCTGCCTAAATACACACACACACACACACACACACACACACATATATATATATGTATATGAATGAGATAATGATATATATTTTTATACATGTGATTGTGGAAAATTTATTATGACATGTTTCGTTCTTTAGGACTTTATCGAACTAAATTTGTTATGTTGGTTACTGGGATTTTTTCTTTTCTTTTTTTTGTAGCTGATATCATTTAAATTCTTTTTCTTTTTCTTTCCATCACTTTTGTTATTAGATATCCCACACTGCGATAATAGAAGTTCTGCCAGGAATGGTGAAATGTTCTAAGAGCCAGGACGCAAATTTACGGTAGATGACCTTGCGATTAAGGCACTTTCTAGACATTTGCGTCATAGTGAATTGTTTTCTCCTTTGATCAGAGTAGAATTTTTTTATGTCAAAATTGTGGACCGTATCATTACAGTGAGCAACTAATGCATTTGATGTATTGTTTTATAAAATCTCCCTTTTATGTTCATATAATCTTTTATTTAGATTCCTTGAGGTTTCTCCTATGTATTTTTTGTGACAGTTACTAAAGTCGATGGCGTAAATACCTAAATGCACTAAGGAACCTAGCAAAAAATACAGAGATCCACATCACGCCCTCTGGCAAGGGTTGTGGAATTGTGATCACGAACAAGAATACATATGTAGAAATAATTAATTCACTACACAACGATACCGACACATACGAAAAAATAAACGAACGGAAAAAAATTATTGAAACTCAAAACTTTAACAAGGAGATTAGGAAACTAATTAAAAATAAAAACAAATCGTAGTATAGACTCATAGAATATCACCCTAGAACACCCAAACTTTGCGGTCTCCCTAAACCCACAAAACAGGTGTCTGAATAGACAGCACCCTCTACAAACTGGTGAAAGACATAACAAAAATTCTAACCCCAATTCTTGGGCCAATCAGTCCATCTCATATAAAGAACTCGGGGAGCTTAGTTGAAAAACTAAAGGAAATGAACATGACTGACAAACTCATGGCCAGCCTAGATATAAAATCCCTTTACACCAAATGTTGAAATGTTGAAAAATGCCTAAATTTCCGAAAAAAAAAACAAAAAAACATCTGACACAAAGAAAAAATTAAAACAATAAAAATTTGCCGTCTCATCACCAATCAGTGCTATTTCACATTTAGTGATGACTTTTACAAACAAAAAAATTGGATTGTCAATGGGATCACCTCTTAGTGGAGGGATAACATGTATCTTACAATTTCTTGAATCTGTGCCTTTCGAAAATATTTTACGCAAACAATCAGCATACTTCGGACATATTGATGATGCTCTATTCATATATCCTCGTGATACTAATTTACCTGATCAACTAAACAAAGTCGAACATATATCAGAATTTACATACGAAATAGAAGAATACAATGCCTTACCTTTCCTAAAGATGAAGGTGCACTGCGTTACAACAGTTTAAAACTTGGTGTCCATCGGAAAATAACCAACAAAAACGACCTAATAAATTTCAATTCTCATCATAACAAAAAAAATAAAATCCGGTATAGTCATCGGATTCTACTTAAGAGCACTCAGAATTTGCAGCCCTCAGTATTTACATGAAGAGGAAAAAATACACTGAAAACACTTTCAATCTTCTTCAGTACTCTAATTATCACCTTTAATTTTTTGTTAAAAATACATACGAAAAGCCTCAAGGAATCTAAATAAAAGATTATATGAATACAAAAGAGACATTGTTGGTTGCCCACCGTAAGGAGACTGAGCACAATTTTGATATAAAAAATACTACTCTGATCAAAGGAGAAAACAATTCACTATAACGAAAATATCTAGAGAGTGCCTTGATCGCAAGGTCATCCACAGTAAATTTGCGCTCTGATTCTTCATTACTTCACCATTTTTCTACAGATTCCTTATATTTTAATCTGACTTATATTTTTTTTAATACATAAAAATCAATGAAGATATATACAAAATACACATGAGATATGCTTTAATGTAAAATCAAGCCAAAATAAAAAATTTCAAAACATCCTGCTGTGTCTCACTAACTTTTACGCACTTTAGCGCCCAGAATGTTTCTTGCGCATATTTGAATATTATCTGTTACTTCATTACACGTCACCCATATTTAACCAATGAGAAATAACCAAATACAACATGCCATTAATCTGCGTCTCTTTGCTTTTTATCATTTTATCTTGATCTATGATGAAGCTTTAATAAAGCGAAACGTTAGATTTGGATTTGATTCCTAATTGTTCATTATTCTATCATATATATATATATATATGTATGTGTGTGTGTGTGTGTGTGTGTGTGTGTGTGTGTGTGTGTGTGTGTGTGTGTGTGTGTGTGTCTGTATTTAGACGGAAAATTCTCTTTCAGGCATGACTGACTGAAGAAATTACAAACATTATCTCTGCTTATTTATATAATAATCCTTTCATATTCATGAATATTTTTCCCGTATGTTACAATTAAATAAGGCAAGAAATGCACTTTTTATTTCCCCAATACATTCCATCTCTTTATGAGATCATCATCAGAGGTGCAACTTATAAAGCAATATATATATATATATTATATATTGAAGATATATAGTTTTAAGGTGTGCTATATTTATGAAGTAAAGTGCTCGATATCAGAGATAGAGCGTATGTAAATATAAATATAAAAGTGAACATTGAAGTCAGGCTGTTTCTTGCTGGACACAATCGTCAGGCCGACTGATGATTGCGTCCAGCATGAAACAGCCTGTCGCCTCTGAATGTTGACGTCAATGTTCACTTTATATATATATATATATATATATATATATATGAGAATGAATCAAAAAGTAATGCAATTTGTTTTATTATACAAGAGAAAACAACCGTGATTAACGGATGTTCCCTCAGAGAGTCCTCGTGCCTGAGCGCCACTTGGGGCTTAAAATCAGCCCAGACCTCAAGTGGAACTCGTACATAAGGGGAAATTGTCGACTCATCCTGCTATCCTTTACCGTTACAAGAGCCAAATCAGGCTGAAAATGGGGTACTGCGGCCAAATATGGATGAGAGCTGTGCAGTCTTCACTTTCTACTCTCGATAGAGTCCAACAGCGTCCTTGTGGGTGAATAATCAATTAATTTGTCAGGGATATAATTTAATTTGGGTGAAGTCAATGATGATCAAGATGAAATATTCCTCCAGAACATTAAAGTTATTCAAGGCCGGTATCAAGGGAGATGTAATATCAATCCTCCTATATGGCAGTAAATGCTGGACAATTTCCTCACATATGAAGAGGAGAGTTGAGGCAACAGAAACAAAGGAAAGAGTGCTGAACTGTTATGTAATATCAATCCTCCTATATGGCAGTGAATGCTGGACAATTTCCTCACAGATAAAGAGGAGACTTGAGGCAACAGAAACAAAGAAAATAGTCCTGAACTGCTAATATCTATGACAGTGAATGCTGGACAATTTCTTCACTGATGAAGAGAAGATTTCAGGCAACAGAAATACGACCCCACAGATAGATGCTGAGAATAACATGGGCTGAACATGTGGGAAAAAGTCTTAAGGAAAATAGAAGCAAAGGACACTTTCACTTAGAATCTGAAAGAGTTGAAATTCTTGTGGCACATAAGAAAGAAAGAGGGCTTGGAGAATTTGACACTCACTAGACATATTGAAAGCAAGCGGGAAGCTGTGAGTAACCTACCTAACGAGTTCGTGAAAATAGATGGTAGATCAGGGAGTTTGAGGGATAGTCAACAGGCAAATCTTACTAATATTAGCCGTTTCCTTATAAGATAACATTTGCCATTTATTGACCACACATCTAGTACTAATTCCGGTTGAAATTTATAAAATCTCTCGAACAATTTTTCAAAAAAACAAGTTTTTCAAGTCCAATTGCTTTTATTGTTCTTTCCAGTACAGATGGCGGGTTTGCTTTCTTGCCTTTTCTTTGATGTAGTGTGGAATGTTAACATCTTGATTATGATAGATGTGAACAAACTGCGATAGATATGAAGAGACTGCCATATAAGATAGATAGATAGATAGATAGATAGATAGATAGATAGATAGATAGATGTGCATAAGCTGAGATAGATAGATAGATAGATAGATAGATAGATATAGATAGAGATAGATAGATAGATAGATGAACGAACTAGAGATATCTGAACAGACTGAGGTAGATAGATAGATAGATAGAACAGAATGAGAGATAGAGATGAACAGAATGAGATAGATCGATCTGAACAGAATGAGGTAGATAGATAGATAGATAGATAGATAGATAGAACAAACTGAGTAGATCGATAACAGACTGAGATAGAATGAGATAGATAGATATGAACAGAATGAGATAGATAGATATGATAGATAGATAGATAGATAGATAGATAGATAGATAGATAGATAGATATGAACAAACTGCAGTAGATCGATCTGAACAGACTGAAATAGATATGAACAGATTGTGATAGATATGAATAAACTGCGATACATAGTTATGAGCAGACTGATAGATATGTGCAGAATATGATAGAACGATAGATAGAATGAGAAGAAACTCAAGATACAGTATGGCATTTTTTATTATAATTTGCCAATCCAACTCTCCAAGTCTTGGATGTAAATATGGAAAATGCGCTTTTCTTCAATGATATTTTTTACAAGCTCAGCTTTGCGTTAGACATGCGTACCAAGAAGATTCGGCAGACTTAAAGACTATCGCATGGAAATTTTCGGTTTGTTGCTGCTGTTCAAACTGTCTGCATTCTACCAATTTATAATATGCATGCGTTTGCAATTATCTTTGTGACATATATATCTTTGCCACCCTCGTGTGTCATAAATTTATTTCATTGTACACCTGTGTTGCTTCTAGAACGCTTACTGTTATAATTACACCATCCTGTGTGTCATTGTAAAATAAACCAGGAATAGTCAGAGTGATGTGGATAAAATATGCCCTGCTTTTATAGATTGCAATTTAAGATCGTTTTTTTATGATGTGTGGTCTACTGTAAACATTTCTTTAGAAACAGAGAAAACAGTACTGAACTGTTGGATAATACCATTCCTGCTATAAGGCAATGAATGCTGGACCATGTACTCGCAGATGAAGAGAATTGAGACAACAGAAACTTTGATAATACCTGTCTTTGACTTCGCTATCGAATATATAAAAGGAAGCACTATGCCACGTGTAGATGCTCTATCAAGATTAAAGTTCAATAATCAACCATTAGAAAGATAAGAGAATTCAGAAGATAAAATATTACACTGGACTGGAACTGATGCATTACTCTAGATAGAGCGCCCCAAAATATATATTCAACTGTCAATCAATAGAATAATTAAAAAAAAAACATGTTTCGCTCTACACATATTTCGTTTTAGTGTTTGCCTATGTATCAGAAAATTGCTCCCTGAAGATGACAATTTGAAATTGTCGAAAGTACTTGGAAAGTGTCTCCCATGTGACAACAACTCGAATATAAGGATCTTATTATTCAAGGAATTGATAGTAAGTTAATGTCTCATTAATTCTTGTTAGCAAAATGATTTCACCATTAATCAAATTAACATTGCTATTTCATTTTTTAAATAAATCGTTTCTTTATGATATATATATATATATATATATATATATATATATATATATATATATATATATATATATATTCCATTTTTGTTTTCATTTTCCCTGGATATATATATATATATATATATATATTTATTTAAAAATTATAACATGTAAAAATATATAAAATTATAACATATAAAAAATTATAACATTATGTTATAATTTTTAAATAAATAATTATATCTGCTCTACTCTGTATTGAGCACTCTTTTAAGAATAGTAATTTTTTGGTTATTGAATTTATTCCGTATACCAATCCTATCCTATACTATATATATATATATATATATATATATATATATATATATATATATATATATATGATGCGCTATGACCAGATATGAATGCACGTGAGAGATTCATAGAAGATTGAAGTTCAAATACAGTAAAATCAACCTTGCTAACCGAAAGCTCCTCTGTAGCCAAATCGGTTAAGGCACGTCAAGCTTCCGTATAGGATACAGGTTCGAATCCTGTCGCAGGACGAATATTTTCTGTGAAAATTTCTCGGACATTCAGGCCAGTAAATGTTGTTTAATACTGTTTTTATAAAACAGAGCATTTACTTAAATATTTGTATCTATAAAAGAATGTATAAGCATAAAAATGTCATATATATATATATATATATATATATATATATATATATATATATATATATATATATATATATATATATATATATATATTGCTTTTTTGGGGACCAAGAGATATGGATTTTTATTTTTATTTATTTATTTTTTTACACCGAGTTTCACCTTTTACAAGGCTCGGGACCACTCGAGGTAGAGGGTTACGTTTCGAGGCCATTTGTGTGTATACGAGTAGAAGATAACGGTTAACACTAAACTTGAAACGGTTAAGATTGTAGTGGTCAGGGGAGACATCTTGTTGGGAGTCGATTCCATGGGGCAATGGTTGACGGGAAAAAGCTGCTCGAGTGGAAATTACTTCTCTCCGATGGAATACGAAGGGAATGTGTGTGGTTTGCTACTGTGTAAGTGGAATATAAACATATGCCATTAAAATGTTCATAAATTTTTCGCCAAACCAATAGCAATTTCTCTGAATTCTTTTTCAACCCGACGAAAAATTCTACCGGCATCTCAATAATAATAAGAAGAAAACTGTAAATTTTATATTACGCATTAAGTTTTATAGAATCTTTTAATTTCTGTCTGAATTACTCGGATGAGGAGTTATCATTATTTGCATTATTTACAAGCGGACAGTTGCCTTAATGGGGATAAAATCTCCAAAGAAAAAAGTACTTCTCAGGTTTGGTTTGGTTTGGTTTGTTTTACGGCATATCAAACTCAATGAGTTATTTAATGCCGACAAGATTTTTATTGCTGGTTTGGTTTGGTTTGTTTTACGGCATATCAACCTCAATGGGTTATTTAATGCCGACAAGATTTTTATGGCTGGTTTGGTTTGGTTTGTTTTACGGCATATCAAACTCAATG